AGAAAGTTTCACAAAGAGAAGATCTTAACTTCAGTTTTGAGGCGTTCAACTTCAAATCTTCATCTATATCTCTTTGTTCTCTTTGGAGAAGTTTTCTAAACTCATTTCTAGCTTAATCTTCATTTTGATTTATTTACATATACAAGCTAGATTTACTTGAGTTTAATTTTATTTTTGCTCATTGATATTAACACACAACCACTTGTGCTTTAGTGTTTCACATATTGTGTACTTGGGTTGTGAGAGTGTTTTCTTTGAGAGTGTGCTTACAATTCCGTTCTCATCTTGGTTGGAGAACAAAACATTTATTTGAGCTTATCATTGTTGAACACGTTGTAATACACAAGGAAACTTAGAGGAGTGGTTGGGAGAGACCGGGGTCAATTCCAAGAGGAATGACTTGGTTGTAAAAACAAGGAAACTTAGAGGAGTGGTTGGGAGAGACCGGGGTCAATTCCAAGAGGAATGACTTGGTTGTAAAAGCCTAGGGAGATGTAGTAATTCCAAGCACTTGAGGAAGGTGACACGGGTAGGCTAACACTTAGAGGAGTATCTTGTGAGATTGACAATCGTTTATATTATAAAAGTTTTCGGTGAGTTTTGAAAACCGATTGTGTAGTGAATTTGTGATTAGTGGAGAATCTCCTCGAGGTGAAGAGCGGAGACGTAGGTCGAGGGTTGACTGAACTCCGTGATCATATTGTTTGTTTGTGTTTGTCATTGGCACACTTATTCTTGTGTATATTTTCATATCACCTTTTGTCTTATAGTTTATATCGTCTATTGTTTATTATATATCATTGCATATATCACTTGTGTATATCATATTGCTAGGATATTGTTAATAAGTTTTAATTTGGCATCGTAATCGAATTAGATTAGCAATTACCCTATTCACCCCCCCCCCCCTATCCCCCTATTCCCCCCCCCCCCCCTATCTAGGGTACTTTCAGTTATGATATTCATAATACTTGTTGGAACTAAGACGCAATCTTAGAAAGGCGGGGTAAATAGGGTTGCTATCTTTTTCGCTAAAATCATAGAATATGCAGTGGAATAGATAAAGTAAAAAAACGAACAATGATAATAAACCACAAATAACAATCAACCACGAACACGCAAAATTTTTTAATAGTTCGGATGACAATCCTATGGTCATTCTTCCTTCTCATAAAGGACCTTCCTCATTATGTCAAGGACTCTCCTAAATCACAAATCCGATTCAATAGGCTTACAAGACTGCACCCTGGAATCTACCCAAAATTAATCATCTAGCCTAACTCTCCACAATGAGTAACACCTAGCTCTAGCTAGAATCAATTTCTCAATTCCCCCAACTTAAGTACACTGCAAGCCCTCAATTCACGCCGGCTTGAGTGCGCTGTAAAAAATAAGTTTAAATCAAATAAACATATATCTAAGCACAATACATAAAGATTTTACTACTTCTTTGTTAAATAAACCGTCTTTCGATGAATATAAGCATAAAATGATGAAGAATGGTGTAAATGATGAATCCAATGGTAACTCTCCACGTTGAAACAATTCGGAGATGTTGTGCATGACGAAAGAGAGTTTGTCGAGGCTCTGAGAGTTGAAACCTTCAAGGAAATCTCTTCTCAAATCAAAGCCCTGGAACTCTTCTCTCTCTCTCTCTCTCTCTCTCTCTCTCTCTCTCTCTTTCAATGTTATATAGCCTTCAATATATTAAGAAAGAGATATCCTAAACGTGGTAGAATTTGGAGATCCAATGAATGACTAACGGTTGTGATTAAAATATCAAATGTGCAACTAGCCGACTTTACTCTTAATGGTTGTTCACGATAATTCATGGTCATCTAAGCACCATCGATGGGTTCATGTAAACCATTTATGAGCTAAAATCTTGTCTCTATGATTTCATCAATCAGTTCTTGTAGCCATCGATGATTGCACACCCATTGATGGGTCACTGATGACCATCAATAGTTCGATGACTGAAATTAGCTATTGAGTCGATTATCACTCGTTTCACCTCGTGCACATCTTATACTTGTATTCACCTGTATTTTATCATTTTAAACAATTATTGGTACCAAGCGAGAGCTTGTTATTGCTCAAACATGAGCTAATGTACGGTCTACGTTCTAACAATGCTTCCACTATACATCCATGGAGTCTAACTGTTATCTTCAACTCTTGTGATGCAAGACTGTGACTGTGGAGATTACTTCAGTCATTGCTAGAAGCAATGTTTTAGAAAGCATTAGGCGCTTGCCCAAGCACCTAGCACTCATGCGGCTAGGCAAGTGCTTAAGCGGCAGATATGTGCTAGCATCAAAAGAAGAAGGATTCTTTTTAGAGATTCAAAAACATGTTCTCGTCGTTCACCTAAGATGGACTTGCATATAGTATTTTCATCAATGGTTTTTACATCAAAATCATCTTTACTTTTACCCAAATTGATACTTACCACCTTTAAAGGTTTTTCTTAAAGTAAACCAATTTTACTTGCTAACATATTCGCAATGTCACGTCTAATCTAGTTTTCAGCAAAAAAATACTTGAAATGACCATTTGACCCTCACCATTTTCTTGTTTTTTCATCTCCTTCCTCACAAACCCTAACCCTAGCCTCCTCATCCTCCCCC